AACCTAGTGTGCGTATTTCCAGATTCCTCAAAACCTCACAAAGAAGAAAGTGTTACCATTCCTTACTTCTATGGGTACTTGCAAGACTTAACAGAAGATTCCGGTGTGTTCACAACAATTCACAAAACGCTTTTCTCCACCTTTTGTAAGTCCTCCTCAGGAGACTTGCGTTGTCGACCACTTTATTACTGCAGCTTTTCATATCAACCTGAGACAGATTCTGGAGGCTTGACTCTCAAAGAAAGGATGGATGTAAGAAAATTACCACTGGGAACCTTTACTCTTGATCAGCCAAACCAAACCTCCCCCAAACCTATCAGGACGACGATAAGTATGTAAGCGCATTCACCTTGGAGGGGACATCTTGCTAGTTCCATCGAGACAAGGTGAAGCTCGACCAAATCACTTCGTAAACACTTGTTAACTCTTGCAAAGCAAATACAGCTACACATAATGAAGCTCATATAGTGTACAGTCCTCATCATTACGGACTGTCGGGGCGGCACAGCCGCGCTGCACTGTGACGCGACAGCGGCTGCGGCTCGGTGACGGTGAATCAGCTGATTTCGATGGAATTCGGCTGCAAATTCCCACTTTTTCAGCTCTTCAAGCTTCTAAAGTGGAAGGTGAGTTATTCTGAACAATTTTGAATTGTACTGGCTCTGATTTCCTTTATTTTTATGTCGATTATTATGCTCTTTTCCTTGTATTTTGCCTTATTTCAGGCATTTATTCAAATGGCTTGCATTCTTTCAGATTCATTCAGAGTCAGTACAATTTAAAATTGTTCAAAATAACTCACCTTCCACTTTCGAAGCTTGAAGAGCTGAAAAAGTGGGAATTTGCAGCCGAATTCCATCGAAATCAGCTGATTCACCGTCACCGAGCCGCAGCCGCTGTCGCGTCACAGTGCAGCGCGGCTGTGCCGCCCCGACAGTCCGTAATGATGAGGACTGTGTCCGCCGAGGACGGTTGGGCGTGTCAGCTGGATGAGTTTGGCGCGGTGCCAAACCCGTTCTCCACCAGTTGTTAAAGCGAGCAAGTGATATGACTGTATCATATCGTTCGTATTACTCGTTTTCTACCACTTTTTGTCGCATGCGCGCTTCAACAAGAAGGCAGAGAACGGCTTTGACGGGTGATACTGCCTGACACGTCCAACCGTCCGTGCGAACTTGGGTGTAGCATACATAAGTTTACAAGAGCTCAAATGTCTCATCAAAGCGGCCCAGCCTAGCTCGCTCCATTTTGCAGCTCCGCAAGCTTTTTTGGATCTAACAATGATGGGGGGAGGGGGGAACTGAAAACAAACCAGCGAAGTACCAAAATGTCCTACCCCTAGCCCCCTTCCCCCCACAAAATCAGGAGACAGTGTTAGTAAACGCGCAACCACCGAGAGATGTTCTATCTTCCCCAAAGGTATCAACCATAGGTCCAACGCCTTATAGATGGGAGGGAACGGCAACTCAAAAAGGGTTTGACATGACTGACATAACTG